ATTAATTGATTGTTAGGTTTTTATTTTGGTGGAGCAGCTCTCCATATGTTCCTTAAGTGTATATATTCATAATTTAATTATTTTTTAATGCAAATATTTGGGAATAAATTTAATAAGTATATGATTAAACTCAAATTTTTTAAATTAAATTAATTTAAAAAAATTAATAATCACGAAGATCCAATTAACCGGAATTTTATGCTGTTACATTAGACTGGCTTTATGACTCTTCCGCTTCTACGACTGGTGTACATTTTCTATTATGGCCGTACAAAATTCCGTATCTATCTGTTGTACATTATCTGGAATGGGGACAATTTCGTGGAAAATGAGTACTGAAACTCGCCACTGCGGCAGTTTTGGCGCTACAAGCAACAAGAAAAGTAGTTTCATTTGTGGGGATGCTCAGTGTGTGGTGTATCTTCAGAATGGGGACCACATTCTTTACGTCTTTAGCCTCTACGAAGCGTAAGTGTACAAACGAAATGCTTGTGCTTGCAGAGCCAAAAGTGCCACAATGGCGAGTTTTGGTACTAAGTTTACATTTTACGGAAACGTCTTTAGTATGTCGCGAAATGTTGTTGTTTGTTAAGTTATGGCAACGCAACACTTGGGCGATCTGCCTAAGGGGATGCCTTCCGGGAGGTCTTTTAAGGGAAACCAGGAAACTTTTAAGGGAAAGGAAACAGTCTATTCAGGCGTTAGACGTGGAGAATACCCGGAAAACTCCACGTGGCCAGCACGTCCGAGCGAGGCGCGAACACACGACCGAACTCCCAGTGTTCAGGATACGAAGACCGCTTAGCCACTGGTGGGCGTATGTCCTGAAATGTCACCGTACCAATTTGACTATTTGGACTTGAATCGGGGTTACTTGAATTTGTACTTTAACGAAGCAGAATTGTTATTACTGGTTATATTAATGATAAATGATAGAAGCCTTCTNCTCATAATAGTAAGATGTGATATTGCTTAGTTACTCAACTGAGATTATTATGAGTATACAAAAAAATACAGGGTGTCTGAAAAGTTACCATGCAGTGAGAAATTTGCAACAACATTAAAGTTATGCATAAGGCATTGCATACGAGACCTGTGAGTTGAATGTCCTTCATTTCCATTTTGTGGTAGATGGCATTACTGCTTGCTCATAGATGTTCTGGTTTTGCAAGACTTCTTTGCTGATTGCATAATCTCCCACGGAATATGGCCTGCTAGATTTCCAAACCTCATTCCCCAAATTTTGGGTCTTGGGAGACATTTCCAGCATTTGTTATAAGAGAAACTGCAATATTCTACGTAAAACGTCACTTGAACCTTTACAACTGCACAGTAAATTTTCAGAATCCTGTATTTACTAGTGTTATCTTATAGATTTTTGTAATAATAAGAATCTTTTCAGTGGTGATTTAATTTTATTTAATTTGATTGTAATACAACTTATCTTTCATAAATAAAAAATAAGCTTTTATATAGCTTTAATTGTGCAACATATTCCTGTCTTCTTATTTGATAAATTTATATAATTATTTCAAGTGAAAAAAAAACTTAAATAGAATGTTTGTCATAGACCTTTGCCATCTAACACTTTCAAATGTACAAACATGCTGATAATGACATATTCAAAGTTCTCCATCTTGGTTATTAAGTTCCCTTCCAAGTTTAATGTCTTCAACGGACAAGTAACTAAATCGGCAATATCTGGAATGTTCATTAAATCTGATATACATTAAGAAAAATGTTGACATCATAAAAATGAATTTTGACAAAAAATATTAAAATACTTAAATATAAAAAGGATACTGTTATTTTTTATTGATATTGTATAAAATAACAACAATGCAATGAAAATTAACTGAAACAGAGCACAGTGGCATAAAGCCAGTGGTGCCCAAATGTTTTGGTTGATGGACCAAATTTTCATATTTTTGTATATTCTCTATATATAAAAAGTAGGCCCATTTCTATTATTTATGTTATGTGTTAAATATGTTTGTGGAGCAGATTCGACACAGGAGCCATAGTTTGGGCACCACTCAGATAAGCAATCAATTTTATATTTGTTTATATGATATCATCATGCAATATTGAAGAAATTTATCATTAATGTAAAATATTAATGATAACCGATTCAACACACTAGTCTCCAAACGTACCACTAAATAATAGCCCGATAATAGGTCGTTTGGAGATATTATTGATAGCTGGTACATTTGCCGGTTATCAATAATAATCTTTCGTTCTTTGTCAAAAATCACAGTCTAAGAATAGACTAAAATTAAATAAAAAAATATTTTCAATAAGTGATAGGATTTGCAAAAAGATAATCCCAAAACCATATTTAAAATTTTAGAAATAAAATGGATTAGAGTTCATTCACATTTCATTACATCAAAGATGATGGAGTTTGACAGTTTTCTTACATCCTTTACACAAAGTATTTTAATCGTTTGAAAATATTTTATATTTTAAGAGTAGAGATGTTATTTATCAAAAAAGTATCTATTGCTTAGGAGAATTTAATGAAGATAACAAGGGAATTTTAGTAATTTGTCAAAATTAATTGTACTCTGTTATTGACTATTAATTAATTTAGTAAATTAACAGTCAATAATTCTATATAATTTCAGAAAATTATTGAACGAGGTTTGATTTAATTAAAACTGAATTATTGATGTCAACATGATAATTATTGAATAGTTATCATATGATGAAGTGTACTTACATACATACATAATAAATATATATCATAGTAACCACTGTATGTGGTTATTATGATATTATAACAACAACTTGACCAAATTTAAATAAGTAAAACATTGATTTTTATTTAAAACATTAATAATTTAACTTGTTTAATCATAAAATAGTTAGTATTTTTGTAAAAATACAACAGTAAATCTTTTAAATAAATAATATTGTAAGAACAAGAATGTTGAAAATTAACAGCTGTAGCCAATTCTTATAAGCCACTCGCATGTATGGAATAGTTCCTGTATGCGTCAAAAGATATCTTCTTGCTGCCTTTCAGCACATGGATATTTTTTTAAAACAGAGTAGCCTAAAAGAATATGTTACAGCTTTTAATCTTCAGTGTTCTTGTTCTTAGAAAATCTTAAAAAGTAATATTATCATCATGTTTTTACAAATTTTAAAATTAATTATGTGTCTTTGTCTTTTCAGATTATTTAAAATCTTATTTATATATATTTAACATCCCCAAATAAAGTTTAGTCTTCCGTCTTAAAAATCATGGTTAGATTTACTTTAAAAATATTAAATAAATAAAAATTCAGATTTCTACATAAGGCTACTTTTTATCATTTTAGATGAATTTTATATATTTTACAATATATCATTAACATATCTTTATTGATCTTGATGGAATGCCCATACTATGAAGATACAAAGTTAATTTGTTTAAAAATTAATAAATGTAGGTTACCATAATTAAATAAACAGAAATATTAATAAAAAATTAATTGTATAAAATAACAACAATGCAATGAAAATTAACTGAAACAGAGCACAGTGGCATAAAGCCAGTGGTGCCCAAATGTTTTGGTTGATGGACCAAATTTTCATATTTTTGTATATTCTCTATATATAAAAAGTAGGCCCATTTCTATTATTTATGTTATGTGTTAAATATGTTTGTGGAGCAGATTCGACACAGGAGCCATAGTTTGGGCACCACTCAGATAAGCAATCAATTTTATATTTGTTTATATGATATCATCATGCAATATTGAAGAAATTTATCATTAATGTAAAATATTAATGATAACCGATTCAACACACTAGTCTCCAAACGTACCACTAAATAATAGCCCGATAATAGGTCGTTTGGAGATATTATTGATAGCTGGTACATTTGCCGGTTATCAATAATAATCTTTCGTTCTTTGTCAAAAATCACAGTCTAAGAATAGACTAAAATTAAATAAAAAAATATTTTCAATAAGTGATAGGATTTGCAAAAAGATAATCCCAAAACCATATTTAAAATTTTAGAAATAAAATGGATTAGAGTTCATTCACATTTCATTACATCAAAGATGATGGAGTTTGACAGTTTTCTTACATCCTTTACACAAAGTATTTTAATCGTTTGAAAATATTTTATATTTTAAGAGTAGAGATGTTATTTATCAAAAAATAGGAGACAGCAGTAAGATACTTCCTTTAATATTTGTAGTATAAGAAATTCAAATTTAAAGAAACTGTATATCATCATCAAAAACTTGAGCTTATTGATGTAGTATAGTGTTTCCCTTTTAGTATATATATATTTCTTTAGCATTCTCGTAAAATCAGTCAAAAATGATACATTGAAAGATAAATTTAAATATTTTTAATTTAAGCATTTATTTTATAAATAAAAAAATAATTGTCTAAAAGTACCTTAAAGTATGTTGTTAATATAAAGTCGTGTCTGAAAACTGAATTTACAGTTTGAAATTCAACATTAAATTATTTTGTTCCCTTGTCTTCCAACATTTATACTGCCCCTTGCTCTCCAGCACCCCTTTTGATTCTTCTATAGCCCCTTTGTGGATATAGCAGCCACTTTTGGAATTACTGATGTAGCATCACATCTAAATTAAATATACTTAAACACTATTCATTTATATTTTAGTAACTTCAGCTTTGAATGAAATTGAGTTTGATATATATTACAAATTATATTGACTTTATATAAAAATATGAATTTTAATATTTATAATAATTCACCTTTATAACACTATTATAAGATTATGAAGAGAAGGATTTTAACTTTATATGATAATAAAAATTAAACAGAAATCAAATTGTTTTAAGTAATGAAATGAACTTAAAGTTTAAAACATTTAATTTTCTTTGAAAAATACATAAATACTGTACAAGGAGAGAAATTTTTCCAAATTAAAAAACTAATTATATAATAAATCAAACCTGAAAATTTAAACTTCTATAACAATAATTTCAATATCAGAAAAATATGGAACAAGAATGAGATCAGTTTTATCGAGGTGCCAGATAGAAATGTTAAATTCAATTTAAATACTTAAACAAAATCAAGTTTCTAAATATTTAAGTATCCAAGTATGAATAATCTGCAAGTCTTTCAGCATATTATAATCTATATTGTTTGTGTTAGTTTTATGAATGGGCAAGCATAATCAAATTAGTCGGCAAGGCTTACTTTTGAATGTAGAACAAACTCTCAATTCAAATTCATGAATTGGTCCTTATTTGAATTGGAATCCCCTACAATTTTTGTCATACGAATTCAATCTCATAATAGTAAGATGTGATATTGCTTAGTTACTCAACTGAGATTATTATGAGTATACAAAAAAATACAGGGTGTCTGAAAAGTTACCATGCAGTGAGAAATTTGCAACAACATTAAAGTTATGCATAAGGCATTGCATACGAGACCTGTGAGTTGAATGTCCTTCATTTCCATTTTGTGGTAGATGGCATTACTGCTTGCTCATAGATGTTCTGGTTTTGCAAGACTTCTTTGCTGATTGCATAATCTCCCACGGAATATGGCCTGCTAGATTTCCAAACCTCATTCCCCAAATTTTGGGTCTTGGGAGACATTTCCAGCATTTGTTATAAGAGAAACTGCAATATTCTACGTAAAACGTCACTTGAACCTTTACAACTGCACAGTAAATTTTCAGAATCCTGTATTTACTAGTGTTATCTTATAGATTTTTGTAATAATAAGAATCTTTTCAGTGGTGATTTAATTTTATTTAATTTGATTGTAATACAACTTATCTTTCATAAATAAAAAATAAGCTTTTATATAGCTTTAATTGTGCAACATATTCCTGTCTTCTTATTTGATAAATTTATATAATTATTTCAAGTGAAAAAAAAACTTAAATAGAATGTTTGTCATAGACCTTTGCCATCTAACACTTTCAAATGTACAAACATGCTGATAATGACATATTCAAAGTTCTCCATCTTGGTTATTAAGTTCCCTTCCAAGTTTAATGTCTTCAACGGACAAGTAACTAAATCGGCAATATCTGGAATGTTCATTAAATCTGATATACATTAAGAAAAATGTTGACATCATAAAAATGAATTTTGACAAAAAATATTAAAATACTTAAATATAAAAAGGATACTGTTATTTTTTATTGATAAATTTTCTAATTGCTTTAGATTTCCAAGTCCAAAACAACTGGATATAGAATTATTATCCAATATTAGATTTCTCACACAGACAAGATAACACAATGGCTGGACTGATTTTAATAAATTGTAAGATAAATCAACTGCTTTTGCAGTTGCAAAAAAGTCTACGTGATGAAGAGACGTTAACTGTTTTCTTGAAAGATTAATTTCATTATTCCCTTCTGCTTCTTCAATTGCATTCTGAATTATAAATCTACTTTCTGAATAATAAAATAAGTTATACATTCAATTTATAATAAAATTTGTAAATAATGTGTTTAAAATTCATACTTAAATCATAGAAATAATTTTTCCTTTTTGGATCCACTTCAGTTAGCTGGTCCAAACATTCGAGTATCAATTTGTTGTACTGTTCGTTTTTAAGAGCTCTCATCAACAATACTATGGTAAATAAAATCCCTATAATAAATAATTCATTTTAATTAGAAAATATAAAAATTTATCCAAGATCCTATAACAAAAACTGATTAGAGCATAAATATGATAATCAGCATTAAGTGCCTAATATGCTGATAATTAAACAAATGTTTATTAGTCAAATTATTCTATGTATTTATTTGGTAAACTGATACAATTCTGTATTAATGCTAATATTAAGAGTATCTAGTACTTACTGATAGCATCTTAATGCTATTAGTAAACTTTCTGCCAACTCTGTATGATTATTTGTCAAATATTAAATCATAGACATAATTTTTTGATAGTTTTAACAATTTATAATAATATATCATTAACATGAAAAAATATTAGATATGAACAGATTTTTAATTAAAGATTTTGTTTTTAAATGACATATTTTCTCTTTTTAAAAGGTAATTTTTACAAAACTTCTCATATAGTTTAGCCCTTAAATATTATTTTTAACAGCTTTAATTTTGAGTACAAAACAAAGGTTTAATTAATTACCATGTTTTCTTGACTTAAAATAAAGATAAATTTTACAATCAATGGCATCTTATATTCACAATCCAAAACAACAATTAAGGATCATTGCTCATGTAGTGAGTGCATTATTCTTCAATAATAGATGTTATCCACTGTACTGTTCAATGGTCATATCAATTTAAATGAACTCTACCAGTAATGTTTGTAATTTAAATTCTTTTTTAATGTTTAAAATACCTTTGAGATGACATCATGATGCAGCACTAAAGTAAAAAGTTATTATTTACACAGAACAGTATGAAAATAGATATGTCAAACATTACCTATTTCAAGACTTTTTTTTTGCTAACTTGTTGTTACTTTCAATAAAATTGATTAATTTAAAATTTCTCTCCATAAAATAAAATCTTAAAATTCTATTTTAAACTCATCTTGGAATCAATTACATCTTAAAATTGAAGAAATACAGTGTATTATATTAACATGTTAACTATAATATCATGATCACTTTAATTAAAATAATTCTGATCTCCAATATTTATTGTTGCAAAAATTTTTTGTTCGACCCAATAAAAAGAAATATTTTACAATTGTAATAATGTAATTATACGAATAAACATTTCAGAAATCCTAAGAACAAATATTCTTACATTTATTGTTTGGTTCTAAATCTTGTAGTTGTTTGCATGATTCAAGTTCTTGTTCTAAAACTGATGTAGTACTAGCACTCATTTCATCTCTAAAAAAGAAATTTATAAAAATCTCTGTTGTTATACATAAATTAAAATATTTTATTTCATAATTTGTAAAAAATATAAAAATATTTCCATTATATCATGACAAATATTCATTATATTCTATTTTTAGAACTTTTTAAAAAAATTCAAATTGTTTTATAAAATTTATTTCCACAGTTATACTTCATAATAAATAATCAGAAACTCTACAATATAAGTAAAATATTATATTTTCTGTTCTGTTTAATAATTATTGATGCAGTTTGAAAGTAAACAATAAAATGAAAAGCAATATTGCTTCAACACTATTAAATTTTAATTACAAATGAGGATTAATTTGAATTGAAATTCATATACAAGATAATCAATTAAATCTTGCTCTGAATATAAAGCACTTAAATATTTAAAACACTGTTAAATGTTTATCTCAATAACTGTTCTAATCCCAATGCTATTCATTAGTAAATTTTCTGCCAACTCCATTTGTTATATATGTATACACAGGATGAGTCACTGGTGGTATTCAGTAGTCTTCAGGTCCAATTTCACTCCCTACTATCTCTCCCAACATAACTTCTATGGACTTTTTCCTCTTGGGACAAATTAAGAAAATGGCTAAGTTCAGTGTCCTTCTACTGAAAACAATATGAAAATCAAAATTGTTTGTAAAGTCTTTGTAAGATTACTAGACATGAATTATGAAATGTATTAAATGCCTTTCCTAGAAGAACAAATGCCTGTATATACCAAGAAGGTAATTTAAATAAATTTTGAAATGTACTTTCATTACTATCGTGTTTCTGTCAAGTAAAGTTTTGTCAATAAACTTACTTCCTAGCATAAAAACTTTTGGAAAAAAAGAGAAATAAGAGCTTTAGAAGAAACTGGACAATATATGGAACACCATTAGGATTAAGAAAATGTGAGCTATTATAAAAGATGTTTATTTTGTTGCATACTATCTATATAGTGGTTCAAAAGAGCCCCTTATAATTTAGAAAAAAACCTATTTTGTTCTGTACCTCATAAACTGCTGATTTTCAATGTCACCAAAATTGTCCTATCTGTTCTATAAACATGATTATAGTTCCAACTTCCTACATCCAACAGTTTCCAAGAAAAGATTTCTGAATGCCATCAGTGAATAACCATGTGTATTATATATTAATTTAATGTTAAATAATAAATTAGCATCTTCATTTATCTTTTATACAGTTTTTCTTATTTCATTACAAAAATGAAGTTACCAATTTTTTAACCTGGATAAAAGTTATATGATTCAAATGTTGGAATTATACAAAATATTTTTTTATTTATTTGAGAATCCCAAAATAAAAAATTCACACACACACACACACACACACACACACACATATATAGNTGTGTGTGAATTTTTTATTTATACTTGTATATGATCATATTTGGTACAAGTTATTTGAATTGTTTTCAATACATATTCAGCTTGTTGATAATTCAAATAAAAATTAAAAATCCAGCAAGAGTAGAGGTGTAGGTGAGTTTTATGAAAAAGTTTAAATGTTAATAACAAATAAAATCTTCATTAAGTCCTACCCCTCTCGAGATATATGACCCCCCCTATTTCCCCCCTCTCAACCTTTCACCACTGAAATTTAATAGCATCATTGCCCCTCATATACAAGCCACCATGCCAAATCTCGTTTCTTAATCTTTACCCCCATCCTGAGATATTAAGCAAAATAGAGGCCAACACATGCACACACACATCCAGAGAATTTTTTTTTGCCATTTTTTTGATTTTTTTGAATTCAGGAGATTTGGAAAAAACTCAGAGGGTCAAATTTGACATGATTTCAATATTTTCCCTTGTTATGTACACATAACAACTGGAAAAATAAAAATCATATTTTCCTTACCACTATGAAGCACAATTTATAATTGTTACACTTAAATATTAAAATTCAAAACTGGAAAATGGTTACAAATTTCACAGGTCCATGGGAACTCCACAGATATGAATGTAAGAAACTCAAAACCAGTTAAACAAATGAGAATATTATTTTGATTGAGCACTTTTTGAGAATCTCAATCCCACCTTCAAAATTTATACTACTGGTTGGTTACATTCAAAAAGTTATGTATGAACAATTCTTCTATTCATATTGTCAGAACATCAAATGTTATTGATCTGAAGATAGGATTGAGAATCCTAAAAAGTGCTTAATCCAAGTAAATATCCTGACTTGTTTAACTGCTTTTGAGTTTTTTTCTTATAGTGAATATTAAATTTTGAAATTCCATTTGATATAGTCATGAAAATTTCACTAATTTCTTTGTAAAATACAATCTTTTTTAAATCATAAAACTACAAAGCTCGAAACCATACTCTAAATGATGTTTATTGTATATTAAAAATTTTTATTTTGGATTTCTTCATTTATTATTCCTGTTCGGTGGTCATTATTAGTCTTATAATTTAAATTTATAAAATTTTTGATGTTAAAAATATTTATTTAAATACAAATTAATTTTATATTAAATAATAAATGTTATACCTGAATATATTTGATTTATTAATCTCGTTATAAATATGTTTTTCTTCTTCTTCGGCATTTAGTAAGCATTTAATCTTGTCTGAATAATCATTAACTGTGAGAGATATATCAATTTCTGTATTTTGATCTCCAACATTGTTTTCAGTTGGCAGCAAACATATCTAAAGGATATTAAGAACATATTTAATAATTTGTTAATTTTTTAATAGAGCAATTAAGAGCTACATAAAGCAAAGTTACATTAATAATATAATGTTCTTATATATTGCTGCACAATAGTTATTAATGCTAGCATAATACAGTCTGTATCTTAAACATTAGATCCAAGCATTTATTCTTATAATATGAACAAAATAACTTTATTTTCTTGAAAATAATAGTTTTCCAATGTTATTTTAACTCTATATGCTGTCAAAACATTAAAGATCAAAAAATTTTATTAATTTTTTTTTTCTGAATTAAAACTATTTAAATATTTTATTTTTTTAATAGTCTGTCTAATTTCATTATTTTAAAAATATTTATAACCTCAATATGGCATTTTATTTTGAAATTATTCAGAAATCAAGAAACTCAACAGTACAAAAACACATAAAATGCATAATTCAATATAAAGTTCAAAAAATTGCATAATTTTTTCTTAAACTTATAAACCAGCTTTTCAATAAGCAAAAAGGGATACAGTAAAATCTTAGTTATGTTTTTGATGGGACTATATAAAAAAATTGCATAAATGATAAAAATATATAACTGAAAACTGCCAATCTTTACAAACAAGCCAAAATGGTCGATTACACTCACAGAACAACAAATTGCATATGTCAAATAACAAAAACATCCATTAAAAAACAACGAAAAAGTAATAAAAAAATATAAAAATTGTAACAAATTATATAAAATAATTAGTAACTTTAGTTTGATGACATTTTTTTTATGTGTATTTCATATATAAATATTTCTAAATTACATACATTTCAAATTTTCTGAGGAGAGTATTCCATGTGGGAAAAATATATGGGCTCAACACATCATCTTCTAACACTGAAGATGGTGTGTTTGGAACAGATATGTTGTTATTTTCTCACAAATACTTCTGAGGTATGATTGATTTTTAATGAATTTTTTGTTTTGTTTTGACTATTAATGTCTGTGAAGATGGTTTGTAAGAGCCAGAAGTGCTAAAACAACAAAAACAAATTCTCAAAAAGCACTTCTTTTTGGATTAATAAATCAAATTTGTCATTTCAGAAATTTATTCAACAATTTTTCAGAAAAAATATAAAAAATATAGATTTATTTAAAAAGAATATTCAGTTAATCTTACCCAAACAGAAGAAGCAAATGTGGAAGGAGTTGGTTTATTCCATTTTACGTTTAAAATTACATCATTAGCATAAATTTTTATAAATTCTTCAATTTCTTCAGCCTTAAGAGTAGGGAAAAAAAGTTAATCAAAATTAAGCAAAAATTTTTTTAAATAAATAATTTATAATTTATTCTATAAATTATAAATTAAAAAACTGCTTACTAAAACTGGCTGTGATAACTGAATTATGACTTTTTGAAGAGATTTTTTTATATACACAGAATTAATCTGCAATGGTTTCTGCTCTATGAAAAAATAAATAAAACATAACAATATTTATAAATATTTATTAAAACTACACTCTTTAAAAAATTTCAGGATGATATATGCTTGTTTTAAGTTAAAAATTATGTTTGAAGAAATTAAATAAATGATTAAAAAAACATATATTTTAATTAATTACTTACTTCTACCTAATAACCAGCGATGATAAAACCAGACACTTTGATCACTAGGATCAGTAAATGCAGCATTTTGGACCAGTTCATACTCTTCAATTGTATAAAATGTAATGTATATTATTACAAAATTACATTTGTTTAAGATTAGATATTAAATAAAAATTATTAACCTTCAAGTAACTTTTCTTCTTTAACCGTTCCTTTGATTTTTCCTTTATATATAACAGGTAATAATGAACTTCGATAATGCCAAGCAGAATAATTAGAAAAATTTGCTTCAATTTTCTTTAAGGTAAAATTTAACTCATCCGAAGGCTTCACTTCAGCTTTATTGCACACAAAGCGTCGAAAATCCCAACCATGAACTAAAATAAAACAGATTTAAAATATAATTAATATATACATATAGTTTATTTTGATAAACACATCTGTCAAAGAGCCTTAATCATATTCCAGCAAGATATAATTCAAAATAAAACTTTTGGATTAACATTTTCAATCTATAAATTCAATCTACAAAACTTCCATCATCAAGAGATCAAAACATTCTGACTCCATCAGGATACTTGAAGCATTGAAGATATTTAAATCTGCCAAAAAAAAAAAAGAAAAAAAGGACCATTGCTTTAATTTTAAAGACAAAAAACAATGCATGGCAATCCAACCAACGGTGACCTCAGGTTGTGAAGCAACACCTGTACAATGTTTTTTTTAATTTTAAAATTAACTCATCACAAAATTTCTAAAAGTTTGGTACAATCATTCATCTTATTTTACAACGAATTTCTATTTACATACATCAAGAAATACAAGCAAGGCCACAAATTATTACAATTAATAATAAAATAAAATAAAAAAATCTAAATGCTTAAAATACATTTACTTAAAATTTCTTCTTACAGATTCCTTTAAAAATCAAAAAAGTCTTTTCCCAGTTCAATAAATTAGTTTTGTTTCTTTTTTCACCTCTTCGACATTACACTCAGAATAAGTAAATTATTAAGATATTGTAATTTGTAAAGTATGTGTCCTCTAAAGATTTACAAAATCATTCCAATAATATGTGATATTTTCCTCTCTACATTACAATCATTAACTGTACAATATTCTTAAAAACTGACTTCATTCTATTATATTTTAAATCTAATAAATGCTCTTTCAACTTAACTCCAAATTTTCTTTTTGTTTCCTCAATATAATATTGAGTATCTGAGTATGTGCAAGAGGTAGAATGTACTATTTCCACTGCTTCTTTAATATTGCTCGCTTGGTTTTTTTTATTAAAAATATGGTGCTAAAGTTTATTTTGTTTTGCCACTAAAGTAACATGCAATTTAAATAAATTTTTCATTTTTCAAATACTCGATTACACTCACAGAACAACAAATTGCATATGTCAAATAACAAAAACATCCATTAAAAAACAACGAAAAAGTAATAAAAAAATATAAAAATTGTAACAAATTATATAAAATAATTAGTAACTTTAGTTTGATGACATTTTTTTTATGTGTATTTCATATATAAATATTTCTAAATTACATACATTTCAAATTTTCTGAGGAGAGTATTCCATGTGGGAAAAATATATGGGCTCAACACATCATCTTCTAACACTGAAGATGGTGTGTTTGGAACAGATATGTTGTTATTTTCTCACAAATACTTCTGAGGTATGATTGATTTTTAATGAATTTTTTGTTTTGTTTTGACTATTAATGTCTGTGAAGATGGTTTGTAAGAGCCAGAAGTGCTAAAACAACAAAAACAAATTCTCAAAAAGCACTTCTTTTTGGATTAATAAATCAAATTTGTCATTTCAGAAATTTATTCAACAATTTTTCAGAAAAAATATAAAAAATATAGATTTATTTAAAAAGAATATTCAGTTAATCTTACCCAAACAGAAGAAGCAAATGTGGAAGGAGTTGGTTTATTCCATTTTACGTTTAAAATTACATCATTAGCATAAATTTTTATAAATTCTTCAATTTCTTCAGCCTTAAGAGTAGGGAAAAAAAGTTAATCAAAATTAAGCAAAAATTTTTTTAAATAAATAATTTATAATTTATTCTATAAATTATAAATTAAAAAACTGCTTACTAAAACTGGCTGTGATAACTGAATTATGACTTTTTGAAGAGATTTTTTTATATACACAGAATTAATCTGCAATGGTTTCTGCTCTATGAAAAAATAAATAAAACATAACAATATTTATAAATATTTATTAAAACTACACTCTTTAAAAAATTTCAGGATGATATATGCTTGTTTTAAGTTAAAAATTATGTTTGAAGAAATTAAATAAATGATTAAAAAAACATATATTTTAATTAATTAC